CACAGGGAACAACACTGGAGGCACAGTGTGGGAATTGCACCCGATCTGATCACTTAGATGTCCAGAGACATCTAAGAAGGCAAGCCTGGCATTCTCCTGCTGACCCACAGGGCATCACTGCAAATCAGACTCAAAGGCAACTAACCCCCCTTGAAACCTGATCCAGAGAGATGCAGGAAGCTAGCATGTGCCTCATGGGTCTCAGTGGGGTGAGCGCAACAGGCCTTGTCTAGACCAGGAATCCAAGCCCAGTAACAATTTTGTAGAAGTTTTGGGGTCCTACTCACCAGAGCTGAGGTCTCCCATGGGGCTGCTCTGGGGTGGGGCACCCACAGGCCTCTCTATTACCTGAGCACTGGCCACTGTGAGTGTCCAGGACACCAGCACACTGTGGGCCTGGCTCCCACCTGGCCCTTCCCCCAGGCTTCTGTCTGCACAGAATTTCACCCCAACGTTCTGTTTGGCTGCTGGGTGTCCAATGCAGTCACCACTGGTTGCTCATGTGCCCTTTTGGCCTCTACCAGCGTTTTCCTGTTGGTGGGGAGTGGGGTGGGAGGGTAGGGGCTGAGGAGCAAGGGGGCTGTGTTTCCCAGGCAAAGGATCAGACAGCCTTTCTGTGGATTGTGCCTGGATCCAGCAGCAACCCAACATGAGGAAGGCTGGGCAGGTACAGTCTCAGTCACCCACAGGGGGGTCACTGTGAGTCACACTGAGCCTATGGGAGACAGAAAATGGGGCTTGGAGTGGTGCTGTCATGATTCGGCAGTCAAGGAGATCCATCCCTATTCATTTCCCTGATTTCTCTGACGATCCAGCCCTGCCTCCTAATAATGCCCCCTCTTGACCCCTGACATGATGTCTACCCACATCACCTACGAGTCGCTCAAAAAATTTCACTGCCATCGAGTGGATTCTGACTCACTGAGTCCCTATAGGAAAGAGAAAAGCCGCCCCTATGGGTCCCTGAGACTGTAGTTCTTTTGGGAATACAAAGCCTCCCCTTTCTCCTGTGCAGGGGCTGATGGTTTTCAACTGCGCACCCTGCAGGCAGCAGCCCAAGCTGAGAAATTTATAAAAATTTTGTTTTTATTAAGCCAAGATATAAAATCCAATCTCCTTGAAGGGATAGGCAGGCAGGCAACTTTTATTGCCCCTAAGCAATTTTGCATTTTTAAAAATATATTCTTTTGACATTTGGTGGTATTATAAATATTTAGGATACAAAAGCAAGAAGAGAAAAATGCCAAAGACCACTGGATATGTTACCAGTCAACCCCAGACACCCTTCTGCTGTATGCTGTGAAATGTTGCAATAGGATTTCTGGAGGATTGTGGAGGGAAATTGTCCAAGAGGAAGCTAGGAAGGTATAAACGGAAGTGCAGAGGAACAGGAGGATGGGAAGAGATCAGAAAGAGTTTTGGAGAATAGAAAGATGACCCCCCCTTGTTGGGCCAGATGGGGCCCCTAATACTCTGGCTGCATTTCAAGCCCTTGGAGCTTTCCACC